TGGCGATGGAGACTTCAGTATAAATTACATATAACATTACCTAAGAGAAGTTTATGAAATTTATTCAAACTCGAAATATATTGTATATTAGTGATCATTTAAAAATCAATTAATTATAATAATAAAATAAACTTAATAAATCAATAATCTTTAAAGATTTGTATTAATTGTACAGTGAAATACATATGGTGAAATATTAAAATAAATAAAAGTTGAAAAAAATATAAAACCAAAGCATCTATTTTGGTTACAAAAAAAAATTAATTGTAACAATCCTGGTGGAACTGAGGACACCCCAGCGATTAACAACGAGCAGCGCGGAAAACTGTAGTTACAAACGACAGATGGCTCTCTTTATGCATTAGGAGCAGTATTGTTACAAGGAGAAATCAGAAGTGATAAACCAATAGCTTTTACTAGTAAAACTCTAAACAAGCATGAAATAAACAAGCCTGTAATAGAAAAAGAACTTCTCAATTCATTGGGGAATAATTTATTTCGGACCATATTTATATGGAAGAAATTTCACGGCCTATACTGATCATATACCACTAGTTAGTCTTTTCACATATAAGAATCCATCTTCAAAGCTTAAAAGGATTAGGATAGATTTAATGGATTACAACTTTAACAATATATTCAAACAAGGGAAAATTAATACGAACGTAGATGCACTATTTAGGATTCAATTAGATTCAAAGCAAATAATTAACAAAAATAAATTAACCAGAACAATGAGTAAAAATATTGAATCAACAGGTTTCAGGAAACCGTAAAATTTTAGAACGCCTAATAGATTGTGTTTGCTTTTTGAGGACTCAAGAGCTTGCTTTTAGAGGCAATGATGAATCCCAGAGTTCAAATAACAAAGGAAACTATAAATAGCTGCTAAACTTACTTGCTAAATATGATAATAAATTAGAACGTCATTTGCTACTAACATCAAGCTACTACATTTACAGAAACATATAGCTCTATTTAAAAAGAATTAACAAATGCTGTAGCTTCTGTAATATATGTTTGTATAGATGAAGAAACCAAGAAATTATCATTCATTTCGGTAATGTTAGATGAAATTACAGATATGGGAAAAAATAACAACTTTCTCGTGTTTTTCGACATGTTGATTGCAATGGCTTATCAAGAGAGAGATTTTATAAATTCTGGGACTTAAGTTCAGATCGTTCAGCGACTGCTATATCTAATAAAATAATTAATATTATTAAAACTAAGAATTGAGATGACAAAATTGTCGCGCAAACTTATGATGGTGCCGCAGTTATGGCAAATGATTTGAATGGTATAAGGTATAATGGTATAAGGTATAATGGTAGGTATAATGGTATAATGGTATAATGGTATAAGAATAATAAACCAAATCTTAATCAATAGAAACTAGCGATCGTCGCTCCTAGATGTAAGACCCAAAAGGGTAGCAGATATTGGAAGCGATCATTACTTTGTACGAACAAACTTTAGAAAAAAATTAACAGAACAGGGAAGCGGGCGTAGTGACTTCGACCTATAATACAACACACGTAGTTTTAAGAGTCACATATGTATGTGTTATATCGTGTTGGATGTACTGTGGTTCAGTTCTGATCCGGTCGGTTGTCGGAAGTGACAGGGTCTGATCAAACAAATTTTCTTGTCATGACCTTGGCGATGGCTGTTTAAACCCTAGCTTTAAACAAATCATAGAAAAAGGTTCATTACAAATATATAATGTAAACTCTCTGGCTATGTAAAAGATGCAATTAGTTACAGGCAACGAATAATAAATGAATATTTTTAGTATTAAATAAAATATAACAAGAACGAGAAAAATTACTACAATTCTTTTTCAATATATTTTAAAATATACTTTGATTTCCTTTAGAATACTTCTTTATTAGTTAATTAGTTTGTTGGCAGACGGCATTTGGGCCACCTTTAGTTTAATAAGTAACAATACTTCAATGTGTAAATATTTTGTAATTTATTTATAATAACATAAATTAACGTCTAAGATTAGTTTTAAAATTGAAATATTATACAGTTTTTAAACTAAAATAAAAATACTACTACTACTACTACTATAGGTATAATGTAAATGATGGAGATTAAAAATGTAGATTAACTTAATCTCGTTCTTTTAATCTCACAATGTAAACTTAGTATATTGTTTTACTTCCTATAAAAATTGAACGGTCGTGCATTTTTCCTGCGGATGATCAGACATATTGTAGATTCAAATTTTGCTTTAGTCGCCGAAAATGAGTACGTAGAACTTACAGAAGAAGAGGTAAGTAGAAATATAAATACGAATCTTATTTTTAATAAGAATATGATTATTCATAATGGTATATCTTAAAATAAATTTTATTGGACCAAGATCGAAATAATTTTGGTGAATTAGAAAATTCAAATAACGAAAGTGCAACTGTTAACTCTGCTACTATACCCAATTGATGGGTTTAGAATTCAACTATTTGCATAACAGAAATCATAATTTTGAACCTTTGCTGGAATGTCCAATACAAGTGAACATGGTACTGTATAGCAAGAATACCCTAATTATGATGGCGTTTATTTAAATTATTATATTTAATAAAAATAATTGGCAATGGATTGGTAATATATTCAGATGATGATCATCATGGTGGATCCAGTTGAATATATAAGCGAAGAGGTAGGTAGTGTTTTCTTGGTGTGTTAAAAATTTGTGCTGGTATGTTAAAAATTTGTGTTATATTCTTTATAATAAAACGAAATGATATGGCAACTCATTTCGTATATATATATTTGCTTTCTACACACTTATATACATATTTTTTTTGTATTTTCAAGGTACATTCTCATTAAATAAGAACTTATGCATACAATAAAGACTTAACAATAAGAAAATTGCACACCAATAATAACTGATAGCTATCGTCTTAAAAATTGTTTTTTAGATCAAACCTTTAAGAGAGTTTAGTAAAGTTAGGATTATGGGTTTTTGTAACCAATAACATGCCCTTTGTAACAGAGTATCGTATTTATATATATATAGATATATATCATCTTATGCTAATTGCAAAGTTTTATTTAATTTTATTTATTTTATTTTTTTGTATTATTTTGTATTTTATTTTAATTTTTTTTCTATTTAAATTAATTTATACACTTTAATTTCTAATTTTCTAATTTCATTTGGTTATCATTATTTAATTCTCTTATGATGCAATTTCTTATTATTATTTTTCTTGTAATAATCAAATTAGATTCTTACGCTCTAA